GAGGGGGGAGGGGAAGAGGGGGGAGGGGGATAGAGAGAGAGAGTGTGTCTGTGTGTATGTGTGTGCACAAACATGTATATACACTCAGGGACCAATCAGAAGGACACATCAATGTACTAACTGCAGCTCTCTCTAGGGAGGACAGGTTTTCATGCTTTGTCTATCTGCTGCTATATTATTTGAATCTTTCACCTGGTGAATTCATCCGGTTTTTACATCTGTGATTAAAGGACAAAAATAAAAGAAATTATAGAGAAAACATCTTAAAATTCTTAACAATACAGGGCTATTTTGTTCTCCTTTAAGTTTGTCTACAATTTCTAAATTTTCTCTAATAGCTATATTACTACCTTTATAATAAAATTGGAAGGCTGTGATTCTGACAGAATGGCAAGTAGGAAATGAGAAAGCTAACTCATAGAAAAAGCCCTCCCTGACACACAAGCTCAGCAAAACCACACACACACACACACACACACACACACACACACTAAAACCAAAAGAAAATGTAGAAAAGGAAAGAAATAAATCAAAGGGTTCTCTAAGATTCTAGGTAAGGGGTTGGAGAGGAGTGATTTTTTCCCCCTTAGCTCTTTGTTCCCCCCTTCAAATTTCCCTTAATATGCTTATATTGCTTTTTTAATATTACTTTTATAATGAAAAAATAAATTTAATAAAATCATAATAACAGGAGATGTGCAGAGTACAGCTGGGGCCACGGGAGGCTCACCAGCCCCACAGTTCTTAGGCGGCTCTGAGAAGGAAACAGGGAGAGAGGAACTTGGCTGGTGGTAGGGGTGAGCGCTGCCTCACTTCCTCCTGAGGAAGCCTGTGCCCCATACCTAAAGAGGGCATCAGGGACTCCAGTTTTTGACCCTTCCTGAGGCATTCCCTGAGCTCCAACCTCAACCTACCCAAGATCCAACTCCCCCTTCCCATGAACCTACACTCCAGCGATCACTTCCCAGTGGCAGTGCTGCCTGAGTACCTCCATCCCTCTATCCTGCCCAGTACCAGGCCCTGTCCACTCTTCTTTCTTACTGTATCTCAGCTATGTCCACATCTCTGTGTCCCCGGCCCACAGTGTGGCCTTACCCCACACACTTTCCTAAAGGTTTCTGCATTTCTATGCTCGTTCCTAGTAACTATTTGCACCTTGCAGCCAGACTCTGATTTCTAAAGCCAACAGTTCACTCCCCTACTTAAAATCCTTCTATGGCTCTCTCCTGATCTACGGTCAAGTCCAAACTGATTGGTGTGTGTCACAGAGCCCTTTGTTATCTGGTGCCTGCTGCCTCTCAGACTTGGCAGGACTGGGTACACAGAAAAGCCATTAAGACTTGGACTTGGAGAGGGGCACAGGTGGCTCACACCTGTAATCCAAACTACTCAGCAGAGGATTGCAGTACAAAGCCAGCCTACCTAGAAAAGTCCATGAGACTCTTATCTCCAATTAACTAGCAAAAATCTGGATGTGGAGGTATGACTCAAGTGGTAGAGTTCCAGCATTGAGTGAAAAAAAGCCAAATGAGAGTACAAGGTCTTGAGTTCAAGTTCCAGTACTGGCACAAAAGAAAAAAAAAAGATTCAGACAGCTGCCCTTGCTTCTTGCTAGACAAGAAACCTTGTTTTCACACACATAGCTTTTACCTTCCTCAGCCTCGGTTTCCTTGTCTGTTGCATGGTGACATTAGAGTGGAACATATAAAACCACACTATTGTTATTATTAACCAAACCTGGTCTGTTGTTCAACTTATACCTCACTTCCCAGAGCTGAACATGTCCTGATAATACGTCCTGTTAACTGCCTCTATCACTCCTCATGCTTTATCCCCCCAACCTGAACAGCCTGTCACTTGTGTTCTGCACAGTTCTCCCTCACAGCTGCTATTCCCCAGCCTGGCCCACTTCCCTGGTTTCTCCTCAGTCTTTCTTTGTATTTTGTCACTTCCAAGGAGGGCTTCTCTTAACCCCTAAATCTGGTCAAGTTTCTTCACTGGATTCCCAGATTCTTAGTGTTGACTTGGCTTTCCTATTAAATAGCCCTACCCCAACTCTTGTGGACAATGACCTGCCCTCCTCCTGTCCACTGGAGTTAGGGAGTCCTTCTGGTCCAAGGTCTATAGCTAGTCACATGAGACCCTCCACTCCAACCTCTTCTATAACTCTAGTCCTGCCAGCTCTACCCTCCCCAAATCCCCACCTAGACTATTCCCTTCCCCATACCCTTTCTCTGCTCAGTCTTCCCCAGCACCATCCATTTCTAAGGCCACACCTATTCTGGCTCTGTCCTTTCTTTGCCTAAGCCACAAGTTGGACCATGAGGCTCCATCCACTTTTAGGCTCCACCCACTCAGCTCTACCCAGCCTATAGACCCTGCCCATTCAGTCTCACCTACAGTTAGGCTCTGCCCACTCTCCCCACCCACTCTAGGCTCCGCCCATTGTGCCAAGCAGCCCCAGCCACCTACCTGTGACAGTGCTAGTGGCTGGCCGCGCATGTAGTGCCACGTCGGGCTGTGGTACTGACTGCGGGTGCAGCCCAGGCACCTGCTGCAGCTTGGGCAGTGACATAACAGCCTGGCTGCTCTCAGCAGGCGCTGGTGGCACTAGCAAAGGCTGCTGGGATGAGGCTGACGTGGGCGGCAGGTGGGGTGGCCGGATCTTCTCTGCCATCAGCTGTTCCTTAATCTTGTTAATCAGAACCAGGTTGTCCAGCTGTGGAAAGGAGAGTCACAGGCTGGCTGAGGGGGCTGGAGCCTCACGGCAGCCTGTCTGAAATGCCTGGTCCCTCATGTAAGTAACCCCAAAACCCCAGGCAAAGAGAAGCAGCTCCAATGGGCAGGGGTGAGAGCTGGAAGGGCAGTGCAAGTCTTACCTGGCTGGGCATGGTGGGAGGAGGGGGCCAGAAGTAGGGGTTGTTAAAGCGAGGCTCAGCCATCCTGCAGGGAGAAAGTCACTGTCACAGGAAGTTGCCATTAGCTATGCTCAAGTCAGGGCCAGTATTTGGGATTCCCCTGCCCTATGGAACCCTCAGCCCCGCAGCACAACAGGCCCCACTAGGCCCAAGGAGCCACATCTTCATGCTGAAATGTCTGGAATTCAGTCTGTTCCTCAGTGGGCCCTAGAAGATCCAGACCAGAATGCCCCCAGCACTACCCCCTCCATCATGGCACTGGCAGGCTAATCTCCCAGAAGGACTTGGCTACGGAGCCAACATCATGGGCACATGGATTCCAGGGTCCATCCCCCACAACCCAAAGAAAAATGGGGTGGGGGTGGTGGGCCTGGAGCTGCTTTGCAAATGTCCACAGAGTAGGTCCCAATCCCTGCCCTTCTGCTCCCAACCCTTGAGGAAAGATATCCTTATCAGAAAGATACAGCCTTTCTGGACAGTTTAGGAGGACAATGAATCCTGCCTTCAACTCAAGTCATACTGCTAGAATGTTCAGCAAACTAACATAGTATGCATCCAAAACCTGTGCTGAGGAGGGTTAGGGAGGCCCAAGGCTAGGGCAGTTTGGAGTCTTTAGTAGAAGTGTAACTACTGACTGACTGATGGTCCTCACCACTGGCAAGATCCACGGCAGACCCCTCTACAGTCAGGGCAGGACCAGGAATGGACCTGTGGCACTATCTCAGTCCTCAGAAGGTTTGAGTCTTCTGTGACTCTAACATAAATCAAGAAGTGACTAATAGGGTTAGTGCCCTCTACTGAGTTTCTCTTAACTCTCTTACAGAAACTACTTATCTATCTGATATGGTTACTAAGATGAAACTGTTGATTTGTGAGGAAAGACCAAAAATGGTCTCATTTCCTGTTCTTAGGAGCCTGAGAAGTCTCTAGTAGGGCTTCAGGCATAGGGTCTTTCAATAAAGACACAATCTAAACTGACTGCAAATCAACTCTTGTGATTCTTTCTTTGAGAAGTGAAGAGGGGAAAGAGGTGACCTGTCCAATACCAGAGCACCAGGGTGCCAGGGTCAAGATTAAAACCAGATTTGCCCAAGCTGATTCCTCTGGAGAGCTTGCTCTATAGTCCTTGGTAGCGCACCTACCCACATGCAAATAAAACAGCTCAGTGCCTAAATGTAAAAGTCCTTAATTCTCTGCCAGCCTGGAGCCACTTTGGTCTGACCCTGGCTAAACTGGAGGTCCAAGGGTTTTCCATGGGGCAGCCAGGCAACCCTGACCCTCTGTCAGCTTCCTACTCTAACCATCCAGACCTCAGGATGCCAGGATGCCCTTCCAGCTATCCATCCAGAGTCAATCCCTGCCCCCCACCCACCACTGCCCCTTTATCGCCTCAAGAATCTCAAGAATCATTTCCTGCCTGCAGTTCTCCCTGACTGCTCCAAACCCCTGGGACTTCCTTTCTCCTTTCCTAAAAAAAAAAAAAAAAAAACCCTCCAAACAGGAATAACAGCAGGGAGGCTCCAAGTTACCAAGTGCCTACCTTGTGTCAACAAGCACAATGACACTGAAGGGGAGGTACTCATTTTGAAGCTGAAAAAACTACCGTTCTGAGATAAGTGACTTGCTCAAGGTCACCCAACTGGTGACAGGTAGGCAGACAGCTGAGACTTCACCATGATCTGCCTGACTCAAAGTCTAGTGCATCAGTCCCTTAGCTATTCAACACAGGACAAAACATCTTGATATGCCCAGCCTCTGGATGGCATGGTCGTGACCCCATGGATGGGTACAAGGAAGGGCTGGGGGGACAGAGGACTGAGATGACCCAGTCTGGGAGTTGGATACACTTGTCGAATTCACCTGTGTATCTCCAGCATGCAGGCCCAGAGGTTACAATGCAAACTGAATGACAAAATGAAGGAGTAAGAATTCAAGTTATTTTGAAGACAATCCCACTCACAGCCCCACATACTATCTAGATGCTCAGTGTACACAGCTCTTCAGAATTCCAGCAGAGTGGCAGGAAGGGGAGAGGTTTTACTGCCTTCCACAGAAGGCCAAGCGAGGTCAGCAGGACAGAAGCACCTTACTCTAGGCTACATGGAAGGGAAACAGGAAGCTAGCTGCACTGTGCTGCTGCAGTGACATCAACTCTCTAAGCTCAGTTTCCACATTGTGTAAGATGAAGTGAATGGACTTCCCTTCCTTTCCCTATTCCTGTTCTGGCCAGATTCTCTGCCTGCTGTACCAGGCTGCTCCTCAGACAGGTCTGGGGAAATTGTCCTCTCCTCATCCTCTCCATGTTAAGTTCAAGGTTCCCAGAACTGGATAGTCAGGGCTGAGCATCCTCTGCCACTTATCAAGGACCTGGACAGGCAGGGACCGCCCCTTACCCCAAGCTGGGAATCCAAGCCCAGAACCAGGGTGGTAAATTGCTCTGCTCACTCAGTCATCTGCACAGCCCTTGTCTGTTTTCTGGGTATTTTAATGACTCAATCAATGTTCCTGGCTGTGGTGTCCAACTACCATTGTGTGCCAGATTCAGGAAGCGGTGGGCTGGGGAAGGTATTCCTTGTACCCACCTGACCCATGCACAAGAGGATGCACCCTGCAGAGAAGTGAGGGGAAAGTGTTCAGGGATGGGCTCCTCAGACCTGTTATTGAGAAGGGAACGAAGCTAGAGGGAGGTCTGGTCAGATGTACGCTGAGGACAGATGTTCGGGCAGAAGAGAGGAGGTAGGAAAGCACATGGCCAGCATGGGACAATGAGCTGCCACCCACCAACAGGGAAAGAGCTGGAGAGTGGTAGGTGGCAAGGGAAAGAGAGGTTTTTAGACAAGGGGTCGGGGGAATCCAGGCAAGAAAGACTCCCAGGAGTGTGCAGCCCAGGGGAGCCCTGAAGCAGAGGGCACCCAGGGTTAGGGAAGCCACAGTGAGTAGGGCTGGGGTTGGAGCATCCTTGTTTTTTTTTTTTTTGGAGGGGTCCGGTCGTGGGGCCTGAACTCTGCACCTGGGCGCTGTCCCTCAGCTCTTCAGCTCAAGGCGAGTGCTCTACCACTTGAGCCACAGCGCCACTTCCGGCCTTTTTTTCTTTTTGCTTATGTGGTGCTGGGGAATCGAACCCAGGGCCTCATGTATGCAAGGCAAGCGCTCTACTACTGAGCCACCTTCCCATCCCCATAGAGCATCCTTGTTTGATGGGCTGAAAAGACAGGCTGGCAGTCAGGCAGGGCAGGTGGAGGAGGTGATGCCATGAGCCCCGGGCCTGGACCAGACTCCTGCAGTGGGGCTAGCAAGCCATCATTTTGTCTCTCATTCTAAAAGGAGAAAAAAGTTGGATGGATGGATGGATGAATGATACATTTCTAGAGCTGCTTGAAAAATAGTTTCCTGATAGCAGCCAGTCTGTCTGCCCACCCATCCATCCATCCATCCACCCAGACTTCTATCCTTCCATCCCAGACACACCCTCTGGGCCAAACTAGGGACCAGTGCTAGTGAGCCTGAGGAAAGCACCCTTCCTTCCTAAGTGAGCAGAAGCAACAATTCGTGGGCTTCTGCAAGGAGCTCCCACTATGAACCCCACTATCCACCACCCACCACCAACCACCTCCCCTGACCAGAGCTGAGGGACCACCTTCCCTATGTCCTCCTTGCCTGCTCTGCCTCCTGGACCCTTACGTGCATGGGACTCCTCAGGACGGGAGGGAGTCTCTCCTTTTCCCAGGCAGCTCAGCTCCTGGGCAGCCAAACCTGGGCCTCCACCTCCCACCCAAGCCCCGCCCTGGGGTTCAGGCCCAGCTCTCCAACTACCCCCTGCCCCTCCCTCTGGCTGTTTCACAGCTGTTCAGCTTCAGCAGACCTGTTCTGGCCACAGATTTCATCTTTGGGGTGCCTCTTCTTGTCACCCCTACCTCTGAACAGGACATCTCATCTGCCTAGCTGTTTCTGTCATAGACTCATGACCCACAGAGACCCACAGCACATCCCCCTCCCCTCACCCCTACCCATCCCCAGATAGCCACAAGAGCCATTTCTAGAATCTCTCTAATCTACCTACTCTTCTCTACCAGTTCTAGTCATGGCACTTCATCTCCCCAGAGAGCAGTCTGCTGTGTTTGGAACTCAACACACCCTGGATTCAAATCCTGGTTACAAGTCACCAGCTGTGTGATCTTGGGCAGGTCACTTGCTCTGCCCCCCAAGTTAGGGATGAGCAGTCAGAATGTGGGCCAGGGCCTTCCTGGAAAGGACATGCTCCTGCTTGGGTCTTAAGGAGTAAGGGGAAGTTAGGCAGGCATAGACAAATGGAGACATTCTGGCAGAGGCAATGGCTTGGGCAAAGGCCACAGGTGAGAAACATGGGTGTGAGGGGAGCCCACTGGGAGACAGGAGATGAGGCTGGGGAGGCAGACAGGCCAGGCTCAGAGGCAGATTGATCCCTGAGACCTGGTGGGAGCCTGGACCTGGAGCAGGAGGTAACCAGTGGAATGTGTGGCTTGGAAAGACCCCTTTTCTGTGTGCTCTCTGTGCCGTGTGCAGAATGCTCTGTAGAGGCAACGCGGGAGACAACGGGGGATCCTGTGCAGATGGCCCGCAGAAGGGACTTGGTAGAGCTGAAGGCCCAAGATGTGTGCAGGCTGCCCCCACAGGGTGCTGGGAAGTTCCTGGACACTGACTTGGACAAACACAGTCACAGAGACATGCAGACAGACAGCACCAAACCCCACATAGGACAAACACAGACCTATGGCCACAACATGGCCCAGTAGGGACCCAACTGCCATGAGCAGGAAGTGTCAGGAGGGTGAGCACCTCTCCAGAGGGCACACCTGAGGGTGGCCAGGAGGGGCACTCGGATGCTTTAATCCCCCAAAGAACAAACCCCTCATTGACAGATCGCAACCTGGAATGCCAGGCTCCTTACCTAGAGGGTCCTTTCCCACTTGGTGAACTTCTACTCATCCTTCAAGACCCAGCTCAAGTGTTCCCTCTTCTACGGAGCCTTCCCTGAACCCCCAGTCAGTCACTTCCTCTGTGTTCCCAACAGCACCTTGTATATGGGAATAACAACAACAATAACAATAAAATGTCGGCTATGTGCTGAGTACATTAGGATCCCAGTTACTGAATCTTCCCAATGGCCCTGTGATGTACACTTAACAGAGGAGACAACTCAGAAAGGTCAACCAACATGCCCAAAGTCACACAGCTATTAAGTGAGGGAGTCACAATGCCACTCAGATCCAGCCCAACAGTGCACTCCAGTGTGGTCTCAGTTTCCATGGCACCTTGGTATCTTTCCCCACCAGACCGTGAGCTCTCCCCATGCAGAGCTGGTGCTCATTCACCAGGGATAACATCTGGCATGTATGGCGGTCATCTACAATGGGCTGGGAACTGTGACAAGAATATTTACAGCAATGACTTTAGTGCTACGATAGACTCAATGTACAAATGGGAGAGGAAACTGAGGTCCAAAGAGGTTAAACGATTTGCTCAAGGTCTGGAAAGGCAGCCTCTGAAGTCAGCTTGGCCAACACCGAAGGAGCGTGCACTGCCAGGTGCCAGGCCCTGCCAACACGGGGAGGTTCAGAAGGACACAAAAAGGGCAGGCAGCTGGGCCACAGTGGGTTACAAGGAGTTGTCCCCACCCAAGGAGGAGGAGTTAAGCAACTAGGCCCCTCCCCTCCCCAAACCCCAGCCCATCCCACAGACATTAAATAAAGTCAGGATCTGCCCAGGCCCAGTGGTCACATGGGACCCAACTCCCAACAAAGCGAGTGAGAGACAGCGGGCAGGACCCAAGCCATCAGGACACTGTGATTACAAGAGGCAAAAATAAAAACCTGCGTCAGAAAGGCAAAGCTGCGGGGAACCACACCCAGGGGAAGGAGGGATGGGATTGGAGAGTAGCAAGGGCTGGTTTGGGTTTTTGTCTTTGTTTCTCTGATTTCCAAAATTCTTAGTAATGTCATCCGTCGCTTTTATAAGGAAAACAATAAATTTATTCTTGAAATTTGAAAGAAAATGGTTGGTAGTCCAAGGGGCACAGCTGCAGGGTCTGGAAGCAGAAACATGGGCAGTTTGGGTCAGCCATTGGCTGACAGTGGGCATCCGCAGGCCACTGCATGCCAGGCCCCACACAGTCCCACCCTCCAAGCACAGATGACCAGGGTGGGCAGTGGGTGTGAGGAAAGGCGATCTGTACTTTGAACTTGATTACATTTCCACAGGCTGGGAGGAAAGAGGGTCTTCAGCTCCTCCTCCAAGGATCTCTACATCCCCACCCCATTCTTCTACTGTAGTGACTCTATTCTACAGTATAAATCAGTTCACCCTCCCCTATCTGGAACCTCCCGTGGCTCCCTAATGTACTCCAGGCCCAGTCTGGATTCCAGCCAGAGCAGACTCTGGTATCCTCTTTGGTCATTGCTTGTCCTGTCTTACATCTGCCCAGCCAGACTGGAGTCTCCCTGCCTTCTAGTACTCAACTTGCTTTCCTTTTTCTTCACCTTCAAGCAGTCTGTGTCCCCTCCCTGGGGCCCTCTGTCCTCTCCAGTTCACTGGTTAATTTCAACTCCTACTCCCAGCCTGACTTTACAGAGCACTTCCTCCAGGAAGCTTCCTTTTCCTTTGGGCTCTCACTTTTCCATCATCAGGGCACCGCACACCCTCTTTTCTGTCTCATCCATCTTTGCTGCTGGCATGTGCTCTCGGTTGGGGAGGAAGGAAAGGATTGTGGCTGAGTTCTTTACCTTTTAAGCCCTACACTGTATCTGGCTGGTGTTTGAACGAATGAACCAATGAATGAATGCAAGCATGCATGCATGCTAAGGTGAGAGGAATGGGAAGTGTTGGCATGGATAGAAGACCCTCCCACACACACACTTCCAAATCACCTCTATCCTCTTTGACATTATGGTTGCTCCTGCATTCAGTTGTTCCTTATTTCCTACACTCTCTTCCTGCTTGATCCAAGGGTCTGTATGTGTTCTGTGAGGCCTTGGAAACACCCGCCCTCCCCCAAGGACTGAACAGTTAGCAAGCACAGACAATGATTCTGCTTCCCTAGCAGTGAAAATTAAAGGAGTCTCACTTGTCAAAAGAGCAAAAAGAAATAAAAGGATAACACCCAATCCTAGCAAGAGTATGGTGAAATTAGCATGCTCACAGATTATGGCTTAAGAGTGTAAATTGGAACAATCATTCTGGAAAAAAAAATCTGGCCATAATGTGTCAAGAACTCTACAAATGTTCACAGACTTTCTGGCTACTGATCACATTCTCGGTCATCCATCCCTAGGAAATAACCCAAAGATAAAGTTACATGCACCAAACTGTTTGCTTCAGGATTTTTAAAAATGACAGCAAAAACCTGGAATAGCCAAAATTGCTAACAGGGAGATGGCTCTATAAATCATGTTCATCAGTGACTGTCTACAGGTAACTGCTAGTGCCTCTGGCACTGCCGAGACTCATTTAACACTCATTCAACCTATCAGAAGCACGGCACAGAGTCATTAGGGAACTTGCCCCAAGTCAAGCTGCAAGTATAGGATTCAAATCCAGACCACTGTGCTGCAGAGTCCAGGCATCTGTAAGTCCAGCTACTCAGGATGCCGAGACCTGGAAGATCCCAGTTCAAAGCCAGCCCAGGAAGAACAGTCTGCAAAGACTCTATCTCTAATTAACCAATAGAGCACTCACTGTGAGTGAAAAAGCAGAGTGAGTGAGACCTTGAGTTTAAGACCCCTATAAGAACACACATACACAAAAGCACCTTGCATGCTGGGTGTGGTGATTTATGCTTGTAATCAATCTTAGCACTTGGGAGGCTATGGCCGGAGGACTGGGAATTTGAGGCCAAGCTGGGCTACACAGTAAGACACTCTCAAAAAATTCCCTACAGTCATGTAGAAATACAATAGTTGGAGAAGAAGACTGAAAAGAAAGAAACAGATAGCCAGGAACTAGTGGCTACATGAGCCACTTGCTATTCAGGATGCTGAGATCCAGAGGACTATAGTTCAAAGCCAGCAAGATGCCAGGCTGGCAATATGTGGCTGAAGTGGTAGAGTGCTAGTAGAGGAGCAAGCCAAGTAAGTGAGTGCTTAGTTAGCCTTGAACTCAAACCTGGTCCCTGCAAAAATTAGAGGAATAAGTATACAAATGATATCTATATAAAAACTGGATGCCAAGAGAAAGGAGAGTTAGAAAATACCCGTATCTAACAGTGGGGTGTTTCACTTATCGTCTTGCTATTTCATGACTTTTCTGCAGGGTGTCTGTCTACAGGACTGTTTCAAGGAACATTTTAAATAAAACTAAAACTCCAACAGGTTCGGCAAAACAACACACCCAGCCCCTCAAATCCTGTACATTCAGCATGGAAGGGTCTCAGGGAAAGACAAGACTTGCTGAAAGTCTCTCTGGAACGCAAGCCTCAAGCCCCAACCCCAACCACGACAGCAGTCAGGAAAGGACTTCTTTCCCATCCTATTCAAAATCTTCTCCCTGTCTGGGCTGCAGTACAGCAGGACACCTGAGATTTTCATCGGGAAGACCCTGCTGGCCACGTGCACAGATATCCACTGTACCCGTCCTCCAGCCACACTGTAGGCCACTGTACGCTGTACCACTTGCAGGCATCCCAAACAATATGCCAGTTGGAGCCACCCATCTGGGGGTCACACCACCCTGCCACTGAATCTCAGCTCCAGTGTCACCCTATTGGCTGAATGGCCAGTCCCTCAAGTAAGCCAGGAGCTCTGCAAGGGTAAGGCTTGGGTTTAGTTCTTAGTTATGTTCCCCAAGGCCCCACTCAACCCCACAGCCCAGCCTGCTTAGAGATCACATGCTAACTTTTCACCAGCAGGAGCTAGGTTCCCTGTTATACCCTCCCACGTCCCTGCATTCTCCCTACCTAAACATCTATTCTGTCTCCCATCAGCTGAAACCCACAAGGACAGGACCACCACATCAGCCTAAGCCAAGCACTGAGCACATGGGAGGGCTCTAGTTCTCAAAAACCTGTAGAAAGCAGCAATGGGAGGAAGTCTTTCCATCCAGGAGAGTGAAAAGGTGGGGGAGCATTCCCGGCAAAGGGGCAGTGTACACAACTTGCTTTCTGGAAGAGCAAATAGAAGGAACTGTATGTGCAAATACCAGAGGCAGGAAAATGTACACCAGTGGGTTTGGTCTGGGGTGGGTATAGTGCAGGAATGTATAGGGGAGGCAGGGGCTGGTGGCTGGAGCAGTTGATACGGACAGGGCCAGAGTTAAGGCCTCATGCTTAGATGAAAGTAAGGTGGGGGTGGGAGCCATGGACAAAGTTTGTGACAAACAGGTCCTTGTGGGACCAAGAGGATAGCCTGTAGAGGACACGTAGGAGGTGATGAGGTTTCCTACCATTCAGATTCCTCGAACCCCTGTGCTTAAAGTCGCCTCCCACAGCCCCTCTTCCCTCCCCATGAACACACTCCATTCAACCTAGAGTTCGAGCTGCTGCCCCCACCCCATCCATCCCCAAGACCCTAGCCAGGCCAGCCTTGGAAACTGGCTCCTGGGAACTTCCTGTGAGGCACAAGGCTCCCGAGGGTCCTGGATCCAATTAGGCCGGGTTTCCGCAGCCCTGCGGGGCTGGGAAGGGCTGTTTTCATTGCGATGGTGAAGCTGATCCCGGGAGGGTGCTCTCCACTGCTGTCTGGGCCTGGACCATGAGAACTTCTGTTCTTCCTCTCCCTTGTCCTTCCTTGGCCCTCCCACTCTCCAGCCCTTCACATTCTGGGAGCCCCCTCTCCTTGGTTCCTACCTCTAGCCACCTAGAGACAGCCAGCAGTAAGTGGACTTTCTCTAGGCTGAGAGAAAATGCCCTAGACCCCTCTCCACCGCCAGCTCTGGGGACCCCTAGCCCCCATGCCAGCAGGGAACTCCTGCCGGCAAGGGACAAAGATAGGGATGGCAGGTGGCCAAGTACTTCCTCCCTGCCAGGCACCTCAGATGCTTGGTGGGCACTTCTCAGACCCAGGCAGATGCATGTGCATCTGGAAA